CCCCTCCCCGGGGAAGCCCCCGAGGAGTTCGGAGCCACTTCCAGGGGAGGAGGAAAGGGGGGCTCTGGGGGCACAGAGGGACCCCCCAGTGCTGGAGGGAAGGGGTGGAAGGTGGGGTTGGACTTGGAATGAACTGGATTTGGCCCCGGATCCCCCCCCCAGGCTCACCCACTCCCGAGGCTCCAGGGAGTTTCTGCTCTGGATCTCGGAGTACAAGAGCTCCGGCGGGGGATCCTCGCTGGAGAGGGGGGAGAGGGCACCTAGGGAGAGAAGAAGAGCAAGAGGAGCGATCCCAGGGATGCTGGAGGGAGCTGGGGCATGTAGAAGGGGGGGCATGGAGCCATCCTGGCCCAGGCAGGGCAGGCAGAATCCCAGAATCCCAGTTTAGGTTGGAAAGGACCCCTGAGGTCATCAAATCCACCCTGTGCCGTGTCCCCACCTCGCCCCCAGCCCAGAGCACTGAGTGTCCGGCCCTTCCTTGGACACCTCCAAGGCCTGACCGCCCTTTCCAGGAGCAAATCCCTCCTCGTGTCCCACCTGAGCCTCTCCTGGGGCACCCTGAGGCCGTTTCCTCTTGTCCCTGTTCCCTTCCAGTGCCTGACAACCCTTTCCACAAAGAAAAGAACCGGAGTGAGGGGAAAAGCTCTCTCCCCCTTTCCCAGATCTGTGGATCCCAGCTCTGAGCTCAGAGCCCAGCGGTGCCCACCTCCCTCAGACTTCCTCCTTCTCCTCCTCCTCCTCCTCCAGATCCAGGCGATGCCAAGCAGGGCCAAAATGCCCACGGCCCCCAGCACCAGGCACACGTGTCTCCTCGGACAGGCCCCTGTGTCTGCAGGGACAAGCCGTGGTGGGTGCCAGGGGGGGTGAATTCACCTCCTGGGGGGGTGAATCCGGGCACAGGAGGGGATTTTTACCCTGCTGCTGGCACAGGGTGTCCAGGTGGACGGAGACACTCCTCTCCTGGGCGGGATTCCGGGCCAGGCAGGTGTAGGTGGAGTTGAAGGCAGCGACGGGCAGGGCCAGGCACAGGGTCTGGTTGTCCCCGCAGAGCTGTGCCTGTGGCACCCCCAGAGAGCCGCCGAGCTGCCAGGTGACTGTGGCATTGCTGCCCGGGGGCGCCTGGCACCGCAGGGTGAGGTTGCACTCCCGGGGGGTGAGGGAGAGCCGCTGCCCCTGGACCTGCGGCTCCGGCACCGGATCTGTCGGAGGAGCAAACAAACCTGTCCCACGGCCCGGGGAGGGAGAGGTGCAAGGGCAGAGCGAGGAAAAAGGGGAAGCGCCGGGGTCGCGGTTGGTCCCGGAGCCGGGACAATCCCCGTGACACCCGGAGCGGTTCCCCTTCCCCTTTCCCGGGGGTTGTAAAGCCGCTTCCAGGAACCGCTGCTCTGCAAACAAACCCACCGTAGACGGAGAGGGTGAAGAGCTGTGTCTCCACGGTCGCCGGCTCCAGTTTAATCCGAGCCTCGTAGACGCCGCTGTCGCCCCTCTCCAGGGTCCCGATCCTCAGCTCCGTCTTGTTCGTCTCCACCCGGCCCCTGAATCGATCCTGGGGGTCGGGGCGCTTGAATTTACCGTTGTCGAACTCGGCCACTGTGATCTTGACACCGCCGGCACCTGAAAATGTCCACTCGATCGCCTTCACCTTCTTGTCGGGGGGCAGATCCAGGGGGAGCAGCGCGGACCCCCCCAGGACACCGTTCACCTGCCGGCGTCGAGGGCCGCAGCAACCTGGTGGGGACGGGGTAATCTTGGGAGGCTGGGACAGGGATAATCTGGAGTGGAGACCCCAGCAACCCCCCCCCGGTCCCTTCCCTCGGCCCCCTCCCTCCCGAGGGACCCCGTGGGCAGCTGACCCCCGGGGGCCTGAGTCACAGACGAGCGCGGCGCCCGCCTGGGATGATTCATTGCATCCCACACCCATCCCCTCTCCTGGCGGCGTTCCCGGCACGCAGGGACCACCCGCGGGGCTGGGAACACCCCGGGGGCTCGCGGGGCCTCGTCCCGGTGTCACCCCGTGTCCCCACACACACGCACGGGTCACCCCCACAGCAGGGACGCCACGGTCCCCGTCGTCTCTAAGCCCCAATCAAGGCTCAAACCGGGCAGGTTTAAAGTTAAACCTCCGGGAAATGTCCCCAGGGGTCAGGGACCAGCCGTGGGGCTGGATGTCCCCGGGGTCGGGGGTTGCTGGGGGCCCGCGGTGCCTTGTCCCGGTGTCCCCCCGTGCCCCCCCCGTGTCACCCTACACGTGCCCAAAAAATGGGCGAGACAGGGAGTGTTCTCCCAACTGTGTCTAAGCCCAAGTGGGGCTCAAACCGGGCAGGTTTAAAGTTAAACCTCCAGGAAATGTCAGCAGGGGTCAGGGACCAGCCGGGGACCACCCTCAGGGCTGGGACCCCCCCCCGGGGTCGGGGGGATGCTGGGGGCTCACGATGCCTCGTCCCCGTGTCACCCTACACGTGCACAGGTCACCCCCGCGACAGAGGAAACCCCCCCACACACACCGTGTGGGGCTGAAACCGGGGCGGGTTTCGGGTTTAAACCTTCGGAAAACTCCCCCCGTGGTGGGGACGGGGACCCTCCACCCCAGCGCTCTGGGGCAGCTGATCTGCGCAACCCCCCGCCCTCCTCACATTCCC